TTGCTCGGTAAATGGAGTATTGGTTATGACCTATCAGGTTGCGTGGCGTATGTTGTTTATTTCACTGTGTGTGTAATGAATTGCTTTGGTTCTAGACATCAAATTGTGCGTGGCTGTCAATTTTGAGCATAGTGACTTGAGGTGTTTCATGTGTAGCAGTGTTTGGATAGGATCGCGCATTGTAGCGAGGCCACGTGGAGATATGACCCTTCGGGGTAGATTCAGGTGTTCTATTTCTATGATGTGAGACGGGGTCTCAGCCTTATGTTGTGATGGTACTGATGAGCTTGAGGTACAACTCTCTCGTTTGAGTCATTTTTTATGATTTGAGTATGTTCAGACCGTTTCTTAATGGCGCGCGTATTATGCAAGTTGTGGCTTAGGCCTGTATTGAGGTGTCATATCACCAGAGTGGTGTGTTGGATTCGAGGTGAGCGTTGGGGTCACTAATGAATACGAACGAATTTGATTTCAGCTTGTTGGAAGGATAATATCGAGGTTCGACTCAGAATCTGCTGTGGTATTAGTCAAAAGGGAAGTGGCTTCATGAATGGTTGATCTGAGAAAATGGTTACGGTTTATTGCGTGTTTCATTTATCGTTGGCAGTATATGAAAGTGTTGGAATAAGACCCTAGTTGATAAGAGGTTTTCTACCGGTATTCGGGTGTTGTGGGCAACTGCTGTGAATAGAGGTTATCGTTTCGAGTGTTTGGGTTATGTAGTATATCATATGATTGCACCTGAGGTTGCAGGTATGGGTTATTACAGCTGGTTCGGGCTTATTCTGAGTATAGATGTGAGGTTCTGATCTTGTGTATGATTTTGGAAAGTGCAATGTGGTTCTATGGTTTATGGACTAGATGGATTGTGAAATTTCAGCTATGTTGTGTAATCGGACCTATGCGAGATAGGGTGACGTGGGATCACCCCGGGTATATGCTTGGTAAGGTCAATCAGCTATTGGTTGGCTTCTAGGACAACTCTGGGTACGCTCGAGGACGAGCGTTTATTTAAGTTGGGGAGGATGTGACGACCCGACCCGTCGTCACGTGAGTTACCGCCCCGTTTCCCCCATTTTCTATTTCTTTATGCTTCATTATCAGTGTTGGGTGTGAACGAGTTGATTTGGATTTGGTTCTAGAAGGAAATGAGACACTTATTCTCTTTAAGGAAGGTTTGTTTTGGAAAAGTCAACCGGACGTTGACTTCTGTGTTAGAGGGCTCGGATATGAATTCCAATGATTCGGTTAGCTTCGGGGGATGATTTGTGACTTAGGAGTGTGATCGGAAGTAATTTTGGAGGTCCGGTGTAGAATTAGGCTTGAATTGGCGGAGTTAGTATTTTGGCGAATTCCGGTTTATAGGTGAGATTTTGATCCGAGGGTCGGAATAGAATTCCGAGAGTTGCTGTAGCTTTGTTATGTGATTCGGGATGTGTGCGCAAAATTTCAGGTCATTCGGAGGTGATTTGGTAGGGTTTCTTGTCGAATACGTGTTTCGAAAGTTTTAGAAGAACTTAGGCTTGAATTCGATGTAATTTGATGGTTTTGGTGTTAATTGATGTGTTTTGATGATTGGAACAAGTTTGAATAACGTTGTAGGATGCATTAGTATTTTTGGTTGAGGTCACGGGGGCCTCGGGGTGAGTTCGGATGGTTAAACGGAGAGTTTTGGAATTTTTGCATGTTGCTAAGTCTGCTGCAACTGGTGTTTTTGCTTCTGCGAAGCTTGGACCGCATAAGCGGTCTCGCTTGTGCGAAGATTGGACCGCATAAGCGGTGATGGGACGTGGGCGCTGATTCCGCAGAAGCGGTTGGGGAAGCCGCATCTGCGAAGCCGCAGATGCGGGATTTAAGTCGCAGAAACGGGTTTTCGGGATTATGGGAATTTCCGCAGAAGCGGAAGGAGACCGCATAAGCGGAAGTCGCAGAAGCGACATTTTGACCGTAGAAGCGGTTTCTGCTGGACAGAAATATTTAATTCATCTTCGCGAAATTTTGAGAAAAGTAACATATTTCACTTCGGACTTGGAGAGTTTTTGGGCGATTTTGAAGAGGGTTTCAAGGGCTTTGATCAGGTATGAACTCTTGGACTTAAAAACATGATTCTATGGTGTAAATACATGGATTAGAGCTGGAAACTTAAGAAATTAAAGGTAAAAAAATGGAGGTTAGGGCTTGAACTTAAGAGAGCAAAAATTGGGTTTTGAGGGGGCCAATTGGACTCCGATTTTGGTGTTTTTCATGTGTATGGACTTGTGGCGAGATAAGGAACCCATTGGTGTAAGAATTTCTGAGTTTCGAGGAGTGGGCCCGGGGCTCGGGTTTTGCCAATTTCGGGATTTTTAATATTTTTCGATTATTTTCGGTTGGGTATTGTTCCTTTGGCATATTGTAACGTATTCGTTGTGGTTTTGGTCAGATTCGATGCGCGTGGAGGCCGATTTGAGGGGCAAAGGCATCGCGAGCTAGAGATTTCGCCGGTTCGAGGTGAGTAATGATTGTAAATGATATTCTAAGGGTTTGAAACCCCGGATTGCACATCATAGTGCTATGTTAAGGTGACTTGCACGCCGAATAGCGAGCCTGGGGTAGAGCACCGTTGGGGATTATGACTTAGTCCATCCCGATTAATGATTTTACCACGTATTTGATTGAAATCAGTTTGCTATCATCATTATTTGGGCTGAATGCCATATTTGGGATTCGTGCCAACTATTTGAACCCTTCGGGGATTGTTGTTGATAATTCCTCACTGATTTAGTTATATATATTTGAACTCAGTCATGTTATTTCCTACTGTTTTCAAAACTCAGCCACGTTCACTCAGTTTTAATACTCAAATGATATTTAAATGATGTTTTGGGCTGAGAAACACTGTTTTATTGTTGCCCAAGTGGCTTATGTGATTTTGTTGACTGACTAAGGCCGAGGGCCTGTATTGTAAGGATACTTATGGATCGGACTGCGCGCCGCAGCAGTGTTATACTGTTATTGATATGAGGCTGAGGGCCTAGTTTGATGCCACGAGATGGCTTGATATTGCGCTTGGGCCGTAAGGGGCCCCTCCCAGAGTCTGCACACCCCCAGTAAGCGCCGTCGACGATAGACGGAGCGGGCTGCACGCCGCAACGAGATGTGAAGCGGGCTGCACGCCGCAGCGGTACCGGTACTGTTTGATGTGTTTACCTTATTTCATTGTCTGCCATTATATGCTGTTTGTGCTACTTCTTGCAATATTTACCTGTTGCTCTGGTATTATCTGATAACCGAGTGTGGTGCCCGAGAGGCGGACTTTTGTGCTTATCTGCATTATTTATTTTGCATTCAATTGCATAATTGTTGAAAAAATCATTTTCAAAAGAGGTTTTAAACTGAGCTAAGATATTTCTAAAGTTTTTACAGCTTCACTGCTTTCTCTCAAAGGGTTTTTCACTGTCCCTATATAGCATGATGGTTTGCTTTACGTGATTTCTTACTGCTCAGTTGTTATTTACCCTTATTACTCACTGAGTTGGAGTACTCACTTTACTCCCTGCACCTCGCGTGCAGATGCAGGTATTTGTTCACCCGGTAACGGGTTTTGGCTGATCAGAAGCAGAGCTATAGGAGTAGCGAGGTGACTGCCTGCGTTTTGGTTCATTTTTCCGGCTTTGTATATTTTAGGTCTTGTAGTTGTAATTATACTCTGATAGATGCTCGTGACTTGTGACACCCCGGTTTGGGCTGTGTTTGGGTTTTATTTTGCACTTATTAAAGAGATCTTTTTAATAGACTGTGGTTACTTAATCATATTAAAGCTGCTTATTAATGTTAACTATTCTAAAAAGATAAGTTGGATTAATTGGCTGGCCTCGTCTTCACAAGAGGCGCCATCACGACCGGGTCCGGGTTTAGGGTCGTGACATCCTGCTCTTCCTCGGACCCCGCACATAGTGGGAGCTTTTGTTTGCACTTAATGGATGTCTGAATCTTAGATATTAAGTACTTTCGTTTTTAAAGTCTGAATTTTAGTTATTTAGATCTTAATCATTACGTGTGTTTGTTTTTTTTACTTCACAACCACTTAATGGGTCTGAATAGGTCTGTCTGATTAAGATCTATGATAGAGACTTAATTTCATTAAGATGCTATCACATATTCATTATTAACTGCTGTCACTGCCTATCATTATCAACTACCACCATGCCTCCACCACTACCATACTCAACTACCACTACCACCACCACCACCTCCACCACCACCACGCCATCATCATCCTCAATCATAGCCGCCACCATTATCGACCATCACCACCCACTATTCCCACAGCTCCGACCACCATATTCCCCCCCCCCCCCAATCAACACTCATCCACCTCAACTACCACAACTGACCACCCCATCACCATCAACAACCACAACCGACACTACCCATCATTACAACCTACTACTACCAACCACACCACCTTCCTCAGTCACAACTACTACCACCACCCGCCATTATTAACTATCACCAACCACGCGACCACCATCCTCAATCATAATCGCCACCACTATCAATCACTACTAGCTACTAGCATAAACCACCATCATCAACCAAAACTACCACCAACCACCGCCTCTAGTCGGCATTCACCTGTTAGCCATCACCACCAATAACTATCATATGTTAAAAAACTATATATTTTATTGATAGAATATTAGATTAGTTATTTCATTTGAATTTTATATTTATTAATTTTCAAATAAAGATAAATTTTATACATTTAGATGTTAAAAATCAAATGTCTTAATTATTACTATTCAAATCTTAATACATATCTTAATATATTCAAATATGTATTCAGATTCAAATATCTTAATCTTAATACAAATATTGATATTAAGATATGTTCAGACGTCTAAATCTTTAAAAATAAAATAAAAAATAAGGCCAGTGATTCCCAATAAACGCGGGTTTACCGAAACTGGTGATACCGTGCCCAATTCAGTGGAATATTTTTATCTTTCCCTCCTAAAACCACAAAAAGAAAAAAACGAAACGAAAAATAAAAAGACAGGGGAAACTGGAAAGACTTCCCCCCATCAAAATGAAATGTATTTTAAAATAAAAAAACCCTAAAAAACTCCCAAAAACTCTCAGGTACGAGCTTTCCAAAAATCGAGCCTGAATTCTTCAGGTTTTGAATTGAATTTCGATTCACTGGAAGACTCGATTTTACTATAAACTTTCCGAAATTAGACGGAGTTTATTGTTGATCAGAGCTAAATTGCTGATTTTGTGCCGATTAAATATTTTACTGTTGTGAAGATGGGGCATCATCGTCCGAATACTCGCAGTAAAAATAAAAGGAATAGACCGGATGATTCTGCTGAGGCTACTGCGGAAATTTTCAGGTGAATTTTTCTTATATTGATTGTTGCTATTATGATTGTGGATATCTTACAAATTTATTTATGTTCAATGCCGTTGTTTTGATTTTTGATCGAGTTTGTAACGTTTTTTAGCGTGTTTCTTGACCAAGATGGAGTGACTTTTTTAGCTTGTTTTTTTGATATTTTTTTTCCTACTATAATCATTTCATAACTTTCATTAGTACAACATATTGAATCAAAATGCAGGTGTTCTTCTTGTGCAAAGAGTTTCCCTGCAAAATCAATAAGTATTTACCTTATCTAAAAAGAGCACATTTGAGTTAAAAGGCATTTGATTCTGTTAAACAAGCTTAGGTCAATGTTCGAAACATGAATGTTTTGACAATAACAGAGTGTAGCACAAAGATTAAAGAATACAAAATCCCATCTGCCTAAGCATTTTGTTGGGCAAAATTACCTGGTACCTATGCTGGTGGGAGGCAGCAGGTAACCGGTAGAATAGTCCATGTGTGCCAAGTTGGCCCGGACAATATTGTCATAATTTTTTTAAGAATGGAAACAGGTGGAATTGGTTAATCCGGTGGAATGAAAACGTGCAGCTAAGATAAGTCATGGAAATGTATCAGCCCTTGTTGATCTTTCATAAAATATATCGTGTTAGTTGTTACATAATAAGCTCTCATTTCTTGGACATGCGCATTTGAGATTGTAATTCAGGAACGAAAAATATATGCCGTCAGAGATTGTGATGCACCTAATTGTAATCATAATTTGTGTTTACAGCCTTTTATAGATAGAAATGAAATCTTTAGCACGGAAGAAAAAGAATATAGTACCATATTTTGCCCCCAATGGATGATGTGGAGGCAATCCATGGGACAAATGTACCCTTTTATGTAAAGAATAAGAAGAGGTCCTTCCTGCAAAATTCCCGATTTTCAGAAAGAAAGCAGATTTATTAGTTCTTCTCATGGTAGGAGAATGAAAGACACAGTAGGAAATCCTTATACTTATCCAAAAATGAAAAAGGCATACTTGTAGTTTCTCTGTAGTATTGCAAGTGATGGGGGGGATCGAGGACGGAGTATTTTTGGCTCTTTAGATTCAAATGTGGTATCTCTTGGAAAGTTTTCGAATAATAATTTTTAATTGTAAGTGGGCAACCTCTGGTTTTGTAAATTGTAAATATAGTACAAACAACAACAACAACAACAACAACAACAACATACCTAGTGTAATCCCACATTGTGGGGTTTTTGTAAATATAGTAGTACATATTTATAGATGGCAAGAATATTGAGATAGATGAGTTTCTTGTACTTTGTGAGCCACCAAATACTCAATTTGATTCATATGAATTCAACTGCTGTGAACTTGAAATTCAGTCTCACAAGAACCAAACAATAGAAAAGGTCTTGGGTAGCTCAATATTGAGCTGACATATTCATCCTCTTACCCCTTTTATCATCTTCAGAATAAAAATAAACTACTGTACCTAATTCTTGTGTTTTATCAGTAAGCCCTAACTCAAGGAATGTACTTTCTACTTCAACATGTTGTGCTCTTTTGCCTTCTGTGAAGTGACATAAATACTGTAATGGCTGAATATTTGAATGCTGGACCTAAGTGATGTTGCCTTTCAAGGAGAATCCAATTTATTATCTCTCTTTTGTTTCTGTGATTGTTTATTTGTTTTTTCAGTTGGTAATTTTTGCCGTCTTCTTTGCAGAAACATTCTATCTACCAGCCAAGTGACGGAAGATGATGTTAATCAGCTATACATGATATCGAAACCTGCTTGCCAAGGATGTCGTGTCAACACCAAGGATAATCCTAATTGCTTTTGTGGATTGATTCCACCACCAAATGGTAGTCGCAAATCTGGGTTATGGCAGAAGACATCTGAAGTAGTCAATGCTCTTGGTCCTGATCCTTCAGATGATCGTCGTGCATCCCCAGAGACACCTGCTGGCTTGACAAATCTGGGTGCGACATGCTATGCTAACAGTATTCTGCAATGCCTGTACATGAATAAGTCATTCAGGAAGGGTGTATTCTCTATTGAACCAGATGTTTTGAAACAACAACCTGTGTTAGACCAACTAGCACGACTATTTGCAAAGTTACATTTGAGCAAAATGGCTTATGTTGATTCTGCTCCATTTATCCAAACTCTAGAGCTAGATAATGGTGTTCAGCAGGATAGTCATGAGTTTCTGACCTTGCTCTTCTCTCTGCTTGAGCGATGTTTGAGCCGGTCTAGCGTGTTGAAGGCCAGAACAATTGTCCAAGATCTTTTCCGCGGAGGTGTGTCACATGTGACTAAGTAAGTCTAGACTTAGATTGACTATACTAAAACTGTCGCTAAATACTGATATTTCTGATATTTTAGACCGGTTACTCTAACCCTCTCATGGCTCCCGGATTTCCTATTCTTTACTTAATTTTTGATATAGGTGGCCTATCAGTTTAATCTTTTTTTCTATTTTTATTTTTCTTGATCATGAGCTGTGAATGGCACTCATAGTATTTTCTTGTGATTACATTGAGTTAAAACTTCTGAATGGAGAAGGGACGAATTTGTTGTGCCTTTCGTTGTATTTTTGATTTTTTGGTGCAGTCACAAATGTAATGATACAGAAAATTTTCTTCTAATTTAATATAAGTAACCTTATCTCTCATCTTCTTAAACTGAAATGGCAATGCCACAACAAATTTTCGGTACATTTGTAGATTAAAGGCAGAGGAAGGGGTCTCACTATTGGATGAGGTTTTTAGTGTGTTAGTCTGGATCACCAGCAAAAGGAGTTCAAATCACTCTATTGTGAGCTCATACTTGAGAACAGTATCTCCACTCTCTGTTGAAGAACATAGCCACTTTGTAGACTCTACTTTGCCTTGATGATTTGCAAAAATAAATTGGTTCATCTGATTAAAGCTCTTGCGCAAGTAAGAACTTTGAAACGTGAAAAAGATTTGATAAGATGCTTTATCAGAATCTGATCAAAGAGATACTTTATCAAAAAAGATCTGATAAGATTAGCTACTCTGGTATATAGCAACATAGGATGTTTTTGTTATCTAGCAAGTGTACAGTGGAGAAGTTTAGCAATGAGCCTGGCCTATCTTGTCAAAGACAGAAGAGAACATCACCTTCACACCAAAATTACTAGCTTTTAGATCCCCTAAAATTCACATGCTACATCTTCTATTGCTTATTTGGAGTACCCTTTCCAGTTTGTTACTATTAACCAGAATTATACATGGTCTCAATTGCTTTTAAGTAGTAAGAAGCTTTTGGCTGATGATCGTGTATAGTTCAATTCATTGTATATTTGGAGCTTATTCCCTGTCCAGACCACCCAAGCCTTTCGTTGATAGGTGCTGAAATAGTTATTGCCCTTTAATCAATTTTATCAAACAATTTTTCTGTATAGACAGTCGTTTTTTTAGCTTCCTCTTAATATCTTTAACTTGCAATCACAGCACTTTCTTAGTGTTGGCTTTTGACATCAATAATCTTACTATTTTTATTTAAAAAATAATGAAGGTTGAATGGTCATTTCAGAATTTATTGACTGCACGTGCCCGGACACCCAAAAACATGTCTGGCCCCTTATGGCAAAAGAAAATAAGGAATTGTAACTCCCCGTTCTAGTGCGGAAGAACTTTTCGTTGCATTTACATTGTGATGCTTCCATCGCCCTCCTTTCTAATGCAATGCAAATGCTAACTACTACGTCACATCTCTTGTCAAGGAATTTGTCATCCTTGATTCTCCTGGTTGTATTCTTCTCAAAATCAGAGTTCATCAGATCTTTTATATGACTGGCCACTTTGTTATGTCAGGGTTTTTAACTTTTAGATTAGAAGCAATTGTTTGTTCAATTCTTTGTGGTTGATTCTGCGTTCATGTTTCGGAGTTTCTAGGAGATCCTAATTTTTTTTTTGGTTGCTTGTGCCTAATTAACGTTTAGGTGCTCAAAATGTGGAAATGAATCTGAAGCTTCATCAAAAATTGAAGACTTCTATGAACTGGAGTTGAATGTCAAGGGTATGAAGAGTTTAGACGAGAGTCTGGACGACTATCTTAGTGTGGAGGAGCTTCAAGGAGATAATCAATATTATTGTGATTCATGTGCCACCCGAGTTGATGCTACCCGTAGCATTAAACTGCGCTCTCTGCCTGCAGTCCTAAATTTCCAGCTCAAGCGTTGCATTTTCCTTCCAAATGTATGTAAAGTATTTAAAACACCTCACCGGTATATGCTAGTCCTTCTATAAGACCACATAGAGAAGTTGCTACATGTGATTATTAGAGTTGATTAATATACCATAATATTCTCTAAAGGTTGGTAATGATGCTATCGTTGCTTCATCATAAACCCTTTTCTCTCACTGCCGGGAATTGTAAGTTCGTTTGTCATGGGGGGAAGTTTCTTAAATTCCTTATCTCGTTGTAGAGCTTTATCCCAGCAATTTTATATCACTTGGTATGTGCAGTGGACTCTCTTCTTCTGCTTGGTCATAGTTCTATGCTGTAAGTGATGAATTAGATGCTTGATGGCTTTCATGAAGTTTGAAATGTTGGACTGTAGCTACTTAACATCTAGAAACTCTAGTGGGCTCTTGATTCGAAAAAAATTTAAATGTTTTACCCTTCCAGGCTCCTATAATGAAAGAAAAAGTTCTATATAGGTGATACCAATTAGTAAGGAATATGGTTTAGTTACGTTAGTACATTTACTTTAGCTTTTATGCACTCTAGGAGTTTTATGGCTCTATATGAGATTTTTATGCCAATAAAAATATAGAGAACTTCTAGTACTTTTTATTTAATTTGTATTTGTATTTTGTATAATGTTGGTATGAGATTCATATAGCTGATAGCGACTTGTTTGGAAATGAGGCATAGCTGTTGTAGTTGTTGTTTTACCCTTCCAAGCTCCCTAACTTTTGGTACATATATTAATTTGAGTTGAATAATGGAAAAGATTAGAGTCGTCCTTTATTAGTAAGAAAGTGACTCTTGCACTGTTTCTGCTTCACTACCCAAATTATTGCTGAAGTTGACTTATTCATTTATTTATTTAGATGTTTGTGATCTGTTCCTTTTATGGGCTCTATCTGATACATACATTATTTTCCTAGACTACAACGAGGAAGAAAATCACATCTGCATTTTGTTTTCCTGAAGAATTGAATATGACACGGAGGATATCTGAGCATTTCCAATCAGAACTAATATATGACTTGTCAGCCATATTGATCCACAAAGGCTCTGCTGCAAATAGTGGCCACTATGTCGCGCACATTAAAAATGAGAATACACAGCAGTGGTGGGAATTTGATGATGAACATGTTTCGAATTTAGGCTGTCAGCCATTTGGTAAAGGTTCTTCACATTCTGCTGTCAAGCCTTCTCAAACTGAGCCACTTGACCACTCTTCTTCTGATGCAATTAATATCCTCGAGAATGGAAATGGGCCTGCTGCTGGTGGGCAGCAGCAAGCCTCAAATACTGATGTCACTGAGGTGAAGACCTTCTCGTCTTGTGATGCTTATATGCTGATGTACGTCCTTAGACATACAAAGAGTGGTGATAAAATGTCAATTGACTCTAGTGATGATAAGGCAAAAAAAGAGGCTTGTACATCTTCAGAAGCTGATAGTCATCTTCCATCCCACCTTTATGAGGAGGTAGAAACATTGAATGACTCATATATAGACTCATGTAACCGATACAAATCTAGGAAGGAGTCTGAACTGAACTGCATCACTGAGCGGAGGCAGGAGGTACGTTCAATCCTTTCTAAAGCTGCAGTCCAATCACCTGAAAAATCTTACTTTTGGATATCTATGGACTGGCTGCGTCAATGGGCGGACAACATCATGCCATCGTAAGTTTCAGTTCCTTTGGTGGCTCTTCCTTTTCCTTTGCGTCTCATAGTGTAAATCTTTTAAGGTAGTTGATAAACGAAAATATAATTTCTTTCTACATGGGACCTTTTCCTTCAACTTATGAATGGCACTGTCGATAATTTTTGTTGTGATTGTTCTAGAAGGATTGTTGAGTAGTTGGTGTATTAAGAGTAACAATCTGGAGAGCTTAGGTTCAAATCCCAGTTACAGCACTCAGCGTGAGCCCATCTGTAATGTTCTTGGTGTGGTAGGTTTAACTTGATACTTTAACTTGTAGATTATACTAGGTTTTCCAATGGATTAGTCAAGGACCTCGAGGTGTATTAAGAGTAACAATCTGGAGAGCTTAGGTTCAAATCCCAGTTACAACACTCAGCGTGAGCTCATCTGTAATGTTCTTGGTGTGGTAGGTTTAACTTGTTACTTTAACTTGTAGATTATACTAGGTTTTCCAATGGATTAGTCGAGGACCTCGAGGTGTATGTAAATTGGCCTGTATACCACTGTCATTAAAAGAAACGTAAAAAACTTTAATCACTATTTAGCACATTCAGAAAATATTCTAAATGATCACATGAAAAGAAATTTACGTCATGCACTTATTCCCACATAGAATACAGCACAAAAATTTTCAAGTTAAAACAAGAAGAGCAAATAGGATTTTGCTTATCACTATAAAGATGAAAATGACTAATAATTGAAAATGAAATAACATACTTCTGTATGAATTATTGGTCTCATTTGAAAAGTTTATGGAATTGGAGTATTTGGTTGATCATGATGTTTGGATATTGTATTTTTGATGATGCTTTTGATACTGTAATAATCAAATGTTTGGTTATTGCATTAATTGATTAATTTCTTCTGCATGCCTTAAGTATTGGAAATGACAATTGCATGTACTAATTCCAATGAGTCTATTAAAGTTTATGTAGTGACTGTAGTCCCTTCAGGGGCATCCCATAAAATCAGTAAAGGTCTTTGTATATATGTATGTATGTATGCATGTGTGAGTGTGTATATATATATGTTTGTGTGTGTAAGTAAATACGCGCCATTACATTAGCTCCATTTGAATATACTAGATGCTACTTGGTATTCCCTGGGTTTCAGTTAATGCTTCTTTGCTCTCAAGAGAGTTCTGTTTGATTACTGTTTTATTATTTCAAAAATATTTCTTAATGTAAAGCATTATATATGTTTGTGTGTGTAAGTAAATACGCGCCATTACATTAGCTCCATTTGAATATACTAGATGCTACTTGGTATTCCCTGGGTTTCAGTTAATGCTTCTTTGCTCTCAAGAGAGTTCTGTTTGATTACTGTTTTATTATTTCAAAAATATTTCTTAATGTAAAGCATTATAGTTTGTACCACTTTCTGTTGTATCTTCTGCTTTTCTACGACATTGTTAGTTTGTTACTAACTGCTCATTTTTTTTTTTTGATGAAGTTTTGTTACTAACTACTCATTTCTCAAAAGATTATAAGATTTAGTCAAGTTACGCCGGGATAAGTGAAACCATTGCATTCTGTTTAAATTATAGTAAGAAGATATACTGCTTTAATATATGCTTGATGCAGTGGTATAAAGTATGCAATGACACAGGTTTCAGTCATCTTTAATTCAGTTTAAATTAAAGATTATCCTGTATTTTCTGGTGCAGTGGTGCAGTTCTCACTTGCTAATGTAGAAGAGATGCTATATGATGATGTAGCTAGTTTATTTTATTGGAAGTATGGACCTTAAGGGCTTGTTTGCTTTCCATTATTAGAGACCTATCTCGGCATAAAACTGAGAATTTGCTTATTCAATGTTTAGGTTCAATGATTAGCTAACAGTATAAACTTATACGTTACTAAAACAGCTTTGCATACTAAAAACAATGTTTGGTTACTGGCATAAGTTGTGCATAAATGCTGTTTGTATTACTTATTTTGAATAGAATGTGAAATAAGAATATGTATTAGACATATGTACCTAAAATGGCAAAATTACCAGTAAGCTAATTTTGACTTCCGTGTTGCCAACGCTACATAACAATGTATTCGTTATTGTTCACCGCATAACAATTTATGTGTTATTATTTGTCGCTCCTCATAACAATCTGTTTATTATACATCCCGGGGTAACTAGTTCATCAAAACAACCTGTCTGGTAAACGACTTATTTAGTAGTCATTAGTCTCTTTTTGTGTATTACAGAATCATTGACAATACTTCCTTACAATGCACACATGGGAAAGTACCAGTTTCAAAGATTGGCTCTATGAAGCGGTTGTCTGATGAAGCTTGGACCATGTTATTCTCTAAGGTAATATTTTGTGAACTAGTATTCTTTACTGTTTTGTTTAGGCATTTTCCGTGATAACCTCAAAAACCATTATTCTGTAACTGGTAATTGCTTTTCAGGAATTTGAATATTATCTATGCTTTATGATTTCCATGATATTCTCCTTTACTAGCTTTAAGTTGCATGCTATTTCTTCCTGATATTTATCTGATGCGTGCAAGTCCAGTACGGTGGAGGACCAATGCTGGCCAAAGATGATTACTGCATTGACTGCCTCTTTGAAGTGGCTCGGTCGATGGCCCGTGCAGATAACTACCGGGATCGAAGAACATTAATGAAAGAACTTGCAGAAGCAGCACTTGCAGGGGTTTGTCTAGATGGGAAGTTGTACTACATATCAAAGACATGGTACGACTATGCAATGTATTACTTGTTTAAACTTGTATAGATGTGTCTAATGTAGGATATCTAGCACTCAGTGCTTGGGAAGTTATTTGAATAAAAGTGTGATTACCCGTAAAAAGAGTTTATAGTCAAGCGTAACCTGCTGCATTGTCTAGTTACTAACTATAAAAAGTGGTACAAAACGATTTGAAATGACCTTTCTAAGAAAAACTTCTGGCATCACACTAGGCATGTTAAGTCCAATGTATGTTTACATGGGACGTTTGGCTTAATTTTTAACTTCCTGACGGTATCAATAAACGTTAAACGTTAATATTAGTTCTTTTATTGTGTACGTTATTCCATTCAGTTGTGCTTTCTTTTACTGTCTTGATCTTAATTTCACGAAGTTCACCAATTTTGCTAATCGTCAAAGAAGTTTGCATGTTCGAGATATTGAAGCTATTTATGCAATGTGTCAGTTGCATCATCTTGTGTTTCATATGTTTTCAACATGTATTAGTCTCTGTATATTAGATGTGTATTGATATTCATTTGGTTCCTTCTGTAGGTTACAGCAGTGGCTCCGACGGAAGAATGTAGACTCTCCTTGTGATGCTGATGCTGGACCAACAGCTTCAATAAGGTGTCCACATGGACAGCTGATGCCTGAACAGGCTGCTGGGGCTAGGCGTGTGCTAATACCCGAGAGTCTTTGGAATTTTATTCGTGAGATTGCTATGGCAGTAAAACCTGATGACGCTGTGGGTTGTTCAACTTTCATTTTAGACTCTGAGCCCTGTGCTCAATGCAACAGTCAACTCACCGAAGTTGCATGCTTAGAAGATACTCTAAGGTCCCATATCAACTTATTAAGGTATTGGAGTTAGAATTACCTTGTTGCTTAAAGTATTTATATGGTACAGGGGGTTCAAGCTCAAGCAACGGCAAAGTCATGAGAGATTAGCAATGGGTAAAAGCATACCAATTCTTCCTGGTTCCAAATACTTCTTGTTACCATCTTCTTGGTTGTCTAAATGGAAAAGCTACTCTAATGCAAGTGGCAAAAGTGCTCCTTGTGCTGAACCTGAAACTTTGGATGCCGTCATTGATTTGCTGATGTGTGAAAAGGTATAATTTTCAATAGCATATTCCATCCAAAGGTACTTTACACAAGCTTTATGCATATAGCTATTTTCTTCCTAGAGTAAATTTCAGGTATTCCATGAGATGATTCCTCGTGTGTTTGGATAGATAAACGGAATATGCTCTCTGTACTCCTTGAAGTTTGAAATGCTTATAAACTGTCTATAAGTTCTTCAGAAAGATGATTCATTATAATTTATTGAAATCTCGTTTAAGGAAATGTAAAGAAATAAATAAATAACGTTCTGATTTCTTGCTAAGCCATGGTTCTTGTGAACAGCATTCAAGACTTCTTGAAAGGCCTCCTGATCTGGTCTGCAAACGTGGAAGTATTCTCCAAAAGTCACCTGCTGTAAGTTTTTAATGTATTTCCAAGTTATTGTTTGTCTTTGTGAGAATGCACGGAAAAAAATCTATTTTTAACAATGATGCAATGAGACCTATATATATATATATATATATATATATATATATATATATATATATATATATATATATAATACATATTCTACACCTTTAGGACATATTCTACTCTTACTAGGACATATTTTACTCCTGCTACATATCTGACGGATTATTTACACATAGCTATCTAATACTCCCCCTCAAGCCGGTGCGCAGAAATCATATGTACCGAGCTTGTTAAATAAGTAACTAATACGAGGACCAAGCCGGATTACACACTACAAAATAGGTTTTAAAACACCACTAGAAAACAGAAACTTTTCTAGAAATTACTGTTCATGCCGGAAAATCACTGTTCACGCTGGATAAAATAAAAGTAGTCAGGATTTGATGTAATTTATATGGGTAGGCTCGAAATCACTGGACGAGTAAGTTGTCCTGAAGAAGTTTTGTCAAAAAGTGGCCGGAATGGCTCACACGCGCCGGAGAAGTTACTGTGGCTCGCCGGAAAATTCCAAAGTTCCAGAATCTGAGGAAATTGTACTGGTGGTCTTGTAATCACCCCACAAAATAATTGTCCTAAAGCAATTTTTGAAAATTCTGACGGGAAGGTGCTCCGCGTGGAGGTGCGTGAGGGACTTTCTGCCGGAGCGATTGACTGGGGTTTTGTCGCCTGACTTTTCTGAACAGGATGTAGTGTTGGTTTTTGCACAACACTTTCCGATGAGGAAATAACGCAAATCAATCTTGAGTCGTCAACCAAAAAGATGCACGACGACTGACTTTTCTGTTCCGATGAGACTGGAATTTCTGGGGTTTGGTCGCACAAGGGTTTCAGATCTGATGGTGGTACTAGTATATGCATAGTACCACAATAGCAGTGATGAACCCTAGGAACAAGACGAAGTTGCCGGAATTGCGCGACGATGAGATCTTTCTTCCCGAATGTTGCTGGAATGACGCACATCGATAATTTTCTCACTGAAGCTCTGATTTTAACAATGATTCAATGAACCCTATATATAATATATATTCTACTTCCTTAGTACATATTCTACTCCTACTACATATGGGACTTGGACATATTTTACTTCTGCTACATATCCGACTAGGATTATTTACACATAACTATCTAACGGTCTCCAAAGTAACTTTAACATGTGTTGATCCAGCTTGTTTTTACTCGTGTCAAAGTCCATTACAGTAGCTCATTAACATAAAGAACGGTAATGTTTCCATGATGAAATTGTAATATTATTCAGGCAGGCATATTAGTCGTGTCTGATTTTGTTTATCTCCGTGCACCATTAAGCAGGTCCATATTCTTGTTTTTTCCTTTTTCTTTATGTTTATGTTCTTCCACTCTTTTTCTTTATGTTTATGTTCCCCCTCAAGCCGGTGCGCAGAAATCATATGTACCGAGCTTGTTAAATAAGTAACTAATACGAGGACCAAGCCGGATTACACACTACAAAATAGGTTTTAAAACACCACTAGAAAACAAAAACTTTTCTAGAAATTACTGTTCATGCCGAAAAATCACTGTTCACGCTGGATAAAATAAAAGTTGTCAGGTTTTGATGTAATTTATATGGGTAGGCTCGAAATCAATGGACGAGTAAGTTGTCCTAAAGAAGTTTTGTCAAAAAGTGGCCGGAATGGCTCACACGCGCCGGAAAAGTTACTGTAGCTCGCCGGAAAATTCCAAAGTTCTCAGAATATGAGGAAATTGTACTGGTGGTCTTGGAATCACCCCACAAAATAACTGTCCTAAAGAAATTTTTGAAAATTCTGACGGGAAGGTGCTCCACGCGCCGGCGCGTGGAGGCGCGTGAGGGACTTTCTGCCGGAACGATTGACTGGGGTTTTGTCGCCTGACTTTTCCGAACAAGATGGTAGTGTTGGTTTTTGCACAACACTTTCCGATGAGGAAATAATGCAAATCAATCTTGAGTCGTCAACCAAAAACATGCACGGTGGATGACTTTTTTGTTCCGATGGGACTGGAATTTCTGGGGTTTAGTCGCACTAAGGTTTCAGATCTGATGGTGATACTAGTATATGCATAGTACCACAATAGCAGTGATGAACCCTAGGAACAAGACGAAGTTGCCGGAATTGCACGGCGATGAGATCTTTCTTCCCGGATGCTGCTGGAATGACGCACATCGATAATTTTCTCACTGAAGCTCTAATACCATGTGAGATTTCACGGGAAAAAAATCTATTTTTTAACAATGATTCAATGAACCGTATATATAATACATATTCTACTTCTTTAGTACATATTCTACTCCTACTACATATGGGATATTTTACTTCTGCTACATATCGGACTAGGATTATTTACACATAACTATGTAACGGTCTTCAAAGTAACTTTAGCATGTGTTGATCCAGCTTTTTTTTACTCGTGTCAAAGTCCATTACATTAGCTCATTAACATAAAGAACGGTAATATTTCCATGATGAAATTGTAATATTATTCAGGCAGGCATATTAGTCATGTATGATTTTGTTTATCTCCGTGCACCATTAAGCAGGTCCATATTCTTGTTTTTTTCCTTTTTCTTTATGTTTATGTTCTTCCACTCTTTGATTCTTATTCTTTTTGCTGAGTACTTGATTTCTGGCTGTATAATTTAGACAGATGCATTGGCAATTATCACCGACAACGATTGGAAATTGTTTTGTGAAGATTGGGGTGGTACAGAGGCAAAAGGCATTACAGCTGAAATTGATTGTTTGGGGAATGATTTCCTTGGATCTAGTGAAGATATGGCAATTTCTGAGGAGCATATGAATTTGAGCGACGAATCGAATGCTGGGTCTGAGTCTAGAAAACCCATCATTAAGATTTCACCAGAGGTAATTTCACTTATTCTTCTTGTTTCCACCATTAAAACTTGGACGTAATTTATTGAGCTAATGACCGATATACTAAATTTAGTTAAAAGTTTCCCATTACACTTCCTAATATCAGCTAGCTGTATCTTTGAAAAGAATTTATGTCGGCTTTTTTCTAGTGGTAAGGGCGCAACGCATTATGTGTGAGGTAGGCACACGTCACAGGTTCAGTCCCTGCCACAACCAAAGCTTGGTATTTAAATTGAAAAGGGTAGATGGTCAAGCCCATTATCCACCAGGTTTTGAACTGTGCGCCATGGCTGTCAAAGATTTCTGATTATCACAAAAAAAATATGTGCCATATTCTTTATAAGCCGGAGAGTAATGCAAGCATAAGTAGGTCTAGAGCATGTCTTACCTTAACTTATCCTTTTCCTTTCTCTCACACTGTTTTTAGAACCCTTAAAATTTTTTTCTTTTTTTTGGGGGGGGGGGGGGGGGGGGGAAGGGATGGGGTTGAGGGACTGGCCAGAATAAGTAATTATCTAATGGCAGCGATGAATCATTTTAACAACCCAGTCCGATTGTTTCTAAGCAGTGACCTGTAGTTGGTCTCAGGATATCCTGGATTTCATGGATTTACTATTAACTGAAACGTAATGCTATGCAAGTGGCTTTAATGGAATACCTTAGGTTATGATGATTCCGGAGTTGAGTAAGGGATTTCTTATCACAGAAGGAAGTGGTTCATGTACGTAGGATTTAAAGGGCCTTGTTCATAGTTGAGAAGCTCGGAAGAGCTTACCAAATCTCATAGTTTTGCCTCCGGGTTGTAGAAATCCTCTTGCATAGTTTTTTCCTACAAGTTGAAAAATATTGGCCCCTACAGGATTGATGCTATGTTTGTCTAAAATGTGAATCCGACATAAGCACTTTGCATGATACTTGAACATCCTTTAGAGCATGCTGATATCAGCTGGAAGAAAAATGACGAGTTCCAATACGGAGGTGTTATTCTGTGTCTCCGCTGAAGGTTCAAGAAGAAGCCTTTTGAGTTTCTATTGAATATGGATATTAATCCTAAATTTCATGCTTTCCAGGTGTGTGAGGAGTGCATTGATGAAAGGAAAAGCTGTGAATTAATGAGGAAGCTCAATTATTCCGATGAGGATATATGTGTCTGTTTCATTCGTGGCAAGGAACCTCCAAAATCAGTTCTAGAAGCATCAGTGAACAGCTTGGAACCAAATCGACGGACTTCAAAGCGTTCCAGGAAAACAGCATTTGGAAACTCAGTAAACTTGAATGTGTCTGGGTCCACATCTGTCTACCAGCTGAAGATGATGATATGGGAAGCTTTTGGGGTATAGCCACCTTTGCTTTTTGAACATATCCTATTCTTAATTTTATTTCCATGGCTGACTTGTTTATGAGGTGAGCCCTTTTTTTGCTGATACTAGTTTGGTAGGAGTAGGTTCTGAAATCTGAAAGATGTTCAGAAGGGCAATGTCTATTACAGTTGGGAATAGTGGTTTAAAAAAGTCATAGTTTGATTGTTTGTATGATGGCAGTCAATCAATCACAACACTCCTCTATCTGTACTTGGAACAAGCTATTCTTTCACATTGGTGGAGTCGATATCAAGAAAATACTAGCATAAGATAATATTATAAAGACGGTTATGCCTTTTAGGAACACCCTATTGATGCTATAGAAACTTCAAAGTTATGTGATAGATTGTAACTTATTGAATTTGAAATCTGTTTGAGAAAACTGATTCAGGAAGGAAAACTTGGGTGCCTCAGCCCAATTGCATCCTGTTGACCTTCATGGGTAGATTCTAATCTCAAGCATATGAGACGATGAAAGGCCAATCATACAAGATAACATGGTTGTTCAGTATTTATGTCATTAGATAGACATTTTTTCTGGCCTATACCTTAGTTCTTTTTGTTTGGTTCGTATCTGAATTCTGATAATAATGTCTGTAATTACTTTGTGTGGTATGCAAGTTTTCTGTTGACATGTAATATCTCATATATAGCTATTTGTTCAAAATAGCAGATATATGATCCAGCGACGATTGTTTTCACTTGCTCTTTTGTGCTTTGAGAGTGATGGCAGTTTACTCACATCAATAGAATAGAGTTGTTGTCTGCAGTTGTTTTTATGGACTTCTCCCTTTTGATCCGGGCTCTGGTAGACGAATTTATCTCTTTTTACTTTTGCAGATTGTCAAGGAAAATCAGGTACTTCACAAAGGTTCTCTGGTTATTGATAGTGAATCTGCTTGTCTTGCTGACATGAATATATTCCCCGGAGATGTATTATGGGTTACAGATTCGGAGATTCATGAGCATCGTGATATTGCAGGTAATACTGCAATGCCAAATGGATGTCCAGATTTTCTAGGTGGACTACAATAATCTTATGTTATCTTAAGTATGACATTCTTTATCAGCTCTCTATGTTGCAAGACTCTTCAAAATCCCTGCTGCACCCGTGTCGACATGAGATGGGTGTGTGTGTGAGTGTGGGATCCACACCGGATTTGGTTAACATGCCTTGGGTACTTTGACTACATTCTACAACCGATAAGTATAGATTGATCTGGTATTTGGTTTGATTTTTTGGTTTATGTCATATATATATATAATCATATAAAGTATTACTTTTCTATTAAGCGAGATATCTTACGAATAAGATCTTAGATTCTTATAAAGAATTAAGTTTTATTAGTTTTTGTTCAATAACTTTAACTAATCAAAATATGTAATATATATCGTAATATACATTTATTGGTTGTATCCGCACTCGGATCTGTACCCCTTGAGTCGTAAAATTTATGTGATAAAGAATCCGACCTCTAGATCCGCACCTATATCAAATACCCGGAACTGAGTCCGAGCAACATAGCCAGCTCTTACATTTCTCTGTACAATCTTCTCCTTTTCGGCTCCTAAAAACTGCAATCCTGTCATCTATTCTCCCTTTAATTTCAACTAGTACACATTTTGGGGTTTTATCTTATGTACATATTTGGTTATGTGATATTAGCGTATTGCACATGAATTTCATGAAATGGTATGTGTATGTAGTATTCTTACAATTATTTTGGATCTGTTGTGTTATAGGTTGTTGCAGTATTATTATTACAATGTCAAGGTCTAACTAGCATTAACAATGCATAACAAACATTTTGCATATGGAAGAGTATGCATTACATCATATGATATATCTGCATTATTGCAGTACAACTGATCAGATTAATGTACAACATCCCACTAGCTTGGCATTTTATTAAACCAGTGCACATGAAAACCGCTGGTTTATGGTAACATCAGCTAATGTCCCATGACCCCCTTAGTTTTTATCTGACCAAATTCAGTTTTTTGCCGACGTAGGAATTAGATCAGATTTGCACTTGATCAATTAAATTTTATTTATGTACTTTATCTTCAGATGAGCTTTCTGGCCAGAAAACGGAGGCACAAAACACTGAAGAAGGTTTTCGTGGAACACTTCTGTCCTCGAGTATCTCATCCCACTTTGTCTCTGAAGCATCTGCATGCCTAAATTAATCAGCGTGTACTTGTATAGTATAGCTGTCGTTGATATTTGATTCTGGAAGAGTAGAGCTAAAATCTTCAACCTGCTTAACGGAGGTAGTTTCTGTATATTCTGCTCAATTTTGATGTTTTCCGCTTCATCCGGCTTACTCGTATTGTGTCTTCCTTATTTTTCTTGTTTATTAAGTCTTGAGTCTAGGGGTTAGTTGGATAGCATTGAGTTTTTTAAACTCAAATTTCTTTGATTATATACTTGAGATGATTCACAATTCATAGACTTCGCCATGATCTAAGAGGGAAAGAACCATGCTGTCTTGTAAACATTAACCCCCACTCCCAACTATGGAACTCGTTCATAGATCTTTAAAATCACAATAAAAGTTGAGCCCATGTACGCAATTGATTCTTTTAAAATCAAATTTCTTTGATTATATACTTGAGATGATTCATAACTCATAGACTTTGCTGTGATCTAAGAGGGCAAGAACCATGCTGTCGTGTAAAAATTAACCCCCACTCCCAACTATGGAACTCATTCATAGATCTTTAAAATCACAATAAAAGTTGACGCCGTTACATGGCCTCCTCATGATGGAATTTTGAACTTGTTAATGTGGGAGGTCACATCAGTTAAGAGATTTGGTTGTCCTTTCAAGATGCCTACTCAACCCATTGTCGAATCAGGATAATGCCTGATCATGTTTTGGTATCTCCTTAGGGTTACTCGTGAATCTTTCCAGTGTTCTATATCAATAGATTGTTGAGCGTTACAGTCATACTACAGTCAGATTGAACAGACAAGTCGTCATAGGGAATAATTTTTATCAGGTTCTTACTGTTGTGTGTGTACAGTGGTTTCATTTACTTTCTACAACTTAACTAATTACGAATTGTCACACATAATTAAACAATTAATCTCTAGGTCTGTTGATTTTTGCTGCCTGTTGCTTTAAAGAGAATTACATCTTGAATTAACAATAACCTCCTTTCTGATCGTTCTGCTCTAGTACTTTACTGGTAATTTTCTGTTTCCACTAACTTCACTTTATTGTGCTTCAGATAATCAGATTGGCTCACTTTTTTACGTTGAGAGTACGCCCTGTTTTGTATAACCTTTCGTGTTATTAGCTCCTTTACAAAGTCTGCTTGCAGATAAGGCGATGGATCTCCTAGTGCAAGTTACTGTGTAGAGATTAGTATGATTTTGGTTTTTGACTTTAAGCCACTTGGTGCCCAAGCAGTTGATGTATTATTCCTTTCACCTTCTTGGCTGCCCTTTAGTCAAGCAAGTTGTAGCTCTGTAAGGCCAGGTCTGGTTCATGGTCCTAATTTTGGGACAGTTTTGTGCATTGTGTAGGACCGATTCCTTTGCTTTTGTGAATAGTGGAAGACTGAAGAGGCAGTCAATAGTACATGTCATACATGTATGTAAGTTGTATCTGATATTATTCTTGGTTCCTTGAGGTGAAATATGGGTTTTGACATCGTTTGCTTATGAAAAAGTGCTGATATTACTAAAAAGTAAGGAATACTAATCTAATCCTTTCACCTTTTTACTTTCTGGATTTATTCCTTTAACTAATTAGCATTTTAGGGGTGTGAATGTATTTTTAAAAGGCTGAATGCATACGGAGACACTTAAAGTTGACACGATTTTTCATTTAAATATCTAAACTCAAGGGTGTTCCTATTGAGCACTTGTACTACTCGAAACTTATTCCAATTAAGTACTTCTTGCTGAGTTGGCACATAAAGTAAGTTTCACCCAATATAGGCCCTTCTGTTCCACACGAGATTTCTGCTCTCGTTGAGCTCATCTTAGGACACCTGCGTTATTTTTTACCAGATGTGGCGCCCTGGCCAAACTCCCCACCTTGACAATGTCTTCCGCCCGGATCGGAGCGTGAAGACCTAAAAAAGAGATTTTTTTATTTGTTTTCTTTTTTATTTCCTCCTCCTTCTTTCTCTCCACTACCATTTCCACCGTTGCCTCCTCCACTTTCACCATTGTTGTGCCTCCACCGTTAATTTAGCTCGAAAGTTTGAACCAACAATTGTCCCTATTGATTAAAACTGAAATGAAGAAGAAAGAAGCAAAAGAAGAAGCAGAGAACTGAGACTAAATGAAAGCCACTTCTTCGAAAGCAACGAACCCATTGCCATTTTTCGCTACACACTTTTCTCTTTCTCTCACTACAATGGGAACAGAAAAAGAACAGAGCAAAGCAGAGGAAGATGAAGAGAGTAAAACTGAAATGAGTCTGAGTTCTTCATTTCAAATTGAAACACCATTAATGGGGTCTTTAAAAAGCTTGAAGGTTTAAAATGGTTTACTTGATTTGATGAAAGTTTGGGAAATCAATATTGGGGTTGTCTTCGGGTCGTTGTGGGGAATCTTTAGCCGAAGTTATAACAAATTAGGAGGAGTTTCTCTTAAAAATTTGGATTAAAATCGTGCTTGGAACAAGAACACACATGAAAATAGTGAAGAACACAAAAAATACTGATTTCCAGAACACCAATGTCTCATTTTTTTTTAAAATGTGTTCTTTCCTGATTGGGTGTAAATTAAGTTTTTCTTTTCTTTTTGAGAATGTTATTTTTATTTTGTTTATTAAATAGATTTAACATACTTTTTCCTATTTTTTTTTTACTCAAAATAATATATGTCCTTTTTTTATTCGTCATTCGCCACGTCAGCAGCGAATGCATTGCACAAACTTTGTAAGTTTGGCTGATTGTCAAAGAAGTGCTTAATTGAAATAAGTTTCGGGTAGTATAAGTGCTCAATAGGAACACCCTTAAGTTTAGATGTCTAAATGAAAAATCGAGCCAACTTTAAGTGTCTCTGTATGTATTGAGCCTTTTTAAAAACTGATTAAACCAACCGAACGAAAATGATTATTAGGTTTTTTCAACAGAAAAGGCTTAAAATTGCCCCTATCTTTTGGTAAATATTTTTTATTACCTTCTGTTAACCTATTGGTCTAAAAATACACCATGTTATTTTAAAAAATTTAAAAATTAAACTGCTCCTCCTTTTAACGGCACAACTCGTGGGCCTTTAAATTAATGCGTAGGCAATATTTTTAGGGATTTTTACATTTCTATAAACTATTTGAAATTTTATTATCCCCTACTCAAGTTTCAATTAATTACATAAGCATATACAATTTACCAATTATGTACTATGAATTTAATGAGAATCAATTAACTCCTATAATCTCTCTAACGTACATATCCCACTCCCCCCACGTTTCTCTCTCCGTACCCCCCATGTTTCTGCACTATCTCCCTCCATTAACGCCCGTCTTTCACTTTTTTTCAAATATCTCTCTCAATTTTTCTGATGTCTATCTCTAAATCCTACCAAAATAGTAGCTACTACTGATTTTTCTTCCCTTTCAATGAAGAAGAAAGCAGTTCCGAAGAGTACCCTAAAAAAGCTAATGTTGGTGATATTCCAACTTTTGATTTGGGTGTTTCCTCACAAAATTCACCCAAAAAAGCAGTGAAATCGGTACATGCAAAACCTGAGACAAAGGGAAAGCTTTCCCCTCGTGAAGCTAGGGCTAAAGCTCGAACAAAACTTAAGCATGATAGGGATGCTCGTGAAGCTTCGACATCTGCCAAATCAGTAAAGCGGAAGGGCAAAGAAATTGCTCGCGATGATGATTTCGTCGAAGAAGAAGCTATCCCGAAAGCTGCAAAAGAAAAAAGCAGAGTTTCTCCTACTGTCAAACCTTCAAAAAAGAAGAAGGTTCAAAAATTACCAAAAACTATACCCAAACACTCAGTGGAGAAGGTAAAATTTTAGTAGTTACAATTTTGGTTATTTAAAGTTAAAAAATCTGTACTCATTCTTATGACTACACATATTTTTTGTTTTTTTGTATTTGTAGAAATTTTGTCTACATTGTGTATATTTGTTGTAGGTTATCAACTTTTTTACATTTCCCTTTAAATTGTAGATTTCTTGTATATTATTCTAAATCATTTTGTTAGGGAATGTTCTACATGATTTAGTTAGTTTTATTGGTTATTATTTGCTCTATTTTGTAGATGTTAGTTTCATTTCTGTAAAGAAATTGTATATATAGTGTAGTTATTACTTTCTAATTTCTTGCCCAAACATAATTTTCTGTAAAGAAATTGTATCTTCAATGTGGTCAGCTGTTATATATGTTTACTAGTTTTGTAACTACTTGTATGCAATGTATTAATGTCTTTCTGATTGTAGCTAAATTGTAGTGGCAATGTACATATTTTGTTTTTTGGTCTTCAAACAAGTTTTATTACTTACTGTGTCTTTTGGCGCAGAATCGAATATTTTTTGCACCACGTGATGTTGATTATGGCATCACTAGGTTCCAAGCACAGGTTACATCTGGGCCTTATATTGATATTCTTTTCAATTCATTTTTCATGACACTGCTGTCCCTGGCCAATCGGTGTATTATTGTCTGAAAATGGGTTAAAGTTGTTTAGGAAGACATATTTTGGGCATTTTCTTTCCCTGCCCAAAATATGTATCCAAAATCAGGCAATTCACCTTCTCATGAAGTATGAATTGAACACATCTGGTTTTGACTTTTATACAACAGAGATAAAGGGGGAGAGGATGAACTTTGGGTTGAGGGAGTTTGCCATTATCACTGGCCTTAGATGTTTTACAGAAGTGACGGACTTGGTTACACAATTAAGTATGACAGTAAAATAATGAGGAGCTATTTTCCGAACAAGGAAAAAGTTGAGAAGTCAAACTTGAAACAAATTGTAACCAGCCGTAGTTGGGTGGATGATGAGGATGCAGTCAAGCTATGTATTCTCTATCTGATAGAATTCTTCCTCTGTCCTTCAGACAAAGAAAATAAAGAAACAATAAGATCTTTCTTTTGTCCCTTCTAGTTTATAGTTAAAGTATTTAGTTGTAGCTGGATTGTAGTAAAGTTGTAGACAAATTGTTTATTAATAACAAGTCAGCTACAATTTATTTGTAGCACATTTGTGCTATATTTGTTTTACCTTATTTTTTGTTATTTTGTCCAGAAGTCTACTAATTAGAATAGAAAACATCTGTGGCTTTTTTTTGGTTTGAAAGTTGTTAGTACTTGATCTCGATACTTCTACTATATAATTTCTTTACAGCTTAACTACAATTACTATACAAAAGTACATAATCTATTCAATTTAAGAAGTGTTGTTAGAAAAGGCTGAAAAGTAATAAATAAACACAGTATCTGAACAAAACAACTACAAAACAATTGCATTAAGAGTTGAAATCTGTTTATCAAACATTCATTATAGTAGACAATCTTTATTCAAATTAGCAACACAATTACACCATAACTATAATTCTCCAGAACAGAACAAATACAACTTCATATGTTTTAAAGGACAGATTATCATCAACATTATTCATAAAAAAAAAACTTTAAACTGTATCAATTTTTATTTTCTTTTGGGAGCATTCCTACAAGATCTTTTGTTATGCCCTTCTAGTCCGTAGTTGCCATATGAAACCTTGTACTTTTTTGTATTTACTTCATCATATGGTTTGTGTCTTTGTTTTCGAGGTCTCCCTGGCTGCCTTTTCTCGGTAGGTGGCTTTACAACTTCTTCAACTATATGTTGTGGTACATTCCATTTGATTTTGTCAAGCAGCGGGTCTACTGGTATTTCATAATTCTGCAGAAGTCTCTCTCTCGTGTAATAAGGAGAACAATAGTTTTCATAAGACTCGTTCTTGTGCCTCAAAGCCGTCAAAGCATGTGCACAAGGAAGTTCATCAAGCTGGAATTGTCCACAACTACATCTCTTGTTTTGAAGGCAAACAATGAAGCGCTTCACACCATCTATCACAGTATGGATGTAATCTATTGAAGCCCTCACCTACAATTTCATTACAAATACATAACTAGTTGTCAACAACATATACAAAACAAAATAACTACAATTAACAGTATATATATAGATTGAATGAAAAAATGATCTGATATTATTGGCTATAGCTTACTCTCATCTTCTGCGATAATTTCATTCTGTCCTACAACTCTTTGTTGTACTTTTTCCTAAGGTACGTGAACGTACCCTTTGCATTCAATAATTTTTTATTAGTCCAACGTTCAAGAAGAGTCCTCATGTACTCTAATAGTTTTACTACGGGCAGCTCTCTTGCATCTTTGGTTACCATATTCAATGACACTGCAATGTTTGATGTCACCATCCACGTTCTGTTCACCTTAGCATGTACCCGAGACCATATGTGATAGCAAATATCGTATAGGTATGCTTTAACACATGTGTCGATCTCTTCAATCTTTGTCATTCTTTCATTAAATTCATCAAGCGTGTATGATCGTGCCGTGGCAAAGTATAACTCGCTTAACTTTAGATGACCCTCTTGAACTTTGACCTTACATTTCTCCAAATATGCCACATGCAAGCATAATGTGGCATGCCGGTATAAACAGTAGATGTTGCC